TCCCCACCTCCCGAGCCTGACTGGCTCTTCGGCCAGGCTCCAGGGACAGGGAGTGTGACTGGGGGTGATGGGGAGAGAGGTGGAAGCCTGGCCCCAGGACACCTCTCTGGACAGGAGTTCCCTCAGTTCAGTTCAGTCGCTCAGTCGTGTCTGACTATTTGCGACCCCATGGACTGCAGCACATCAAACCTCCCTGTCCATCACCAACTCCCGGAGCTTACTTAAACTCATGTCCATTGAGTCGGTGATGCCACCCAACCATCTCATCCTCTGTCATCCCCTTCTCTTCCTGCCTTCAATCTTTCCCAGCATCACGGTCTTTTTAAATGAGTCAGCTCTTCGCATCAGGTGGCCAAAGGATTGGAGTTTCAGCTTCAGCATTAGTCCTCCCAGTGAACATTCAGGGCTGATTTCCTTTAGGATGGACTGGTTGGATGTCCTCGCAGTCCAAGAGATTCTCAACAGTCTTCTCCAACACCAGAGTTCAAAAGCATCAATTCTTCGGCGCTCAACTTTCTTTATAGGAGTTCCCTGCACCTGTGTAAAAGCCGCTTTCTCCCCCAAATGCTGCTTTGGGATCCACCTACCATCTGTGTCTAACCCGGGAGGGTCAGCCCGCCCAGCCCTGGGACTGGGCTGTCCCTTCTGCCCCAGTTAGGCCCCACCCTTGACCACCAGCTCCAAGGACCACCCCATCACAGGCACCTTTTCCCTCGGGCTCCGTGTGAAAGTGTGCTTGTGGGAGACGGAGGTGACGCCGTGAGGTGGAGACACACCGTACAGGTCCTGCCAGCTTAACTTCTTAAGGAGCTCTCCAACCCAGCCTCCACTCCCCAGCCCTCCCCTGTCCTCGGGCCTCCACCCCCACATCCCTCTGCAATCCCTAACCTTTCCCTCATTTGCTCAGAGGCTACCTGGCAGCCCTTGGCAAGGTCACAAGGCAGGTGACCGCCACTTTCCTACCACATTCCAGCCTCCTCTCTTCTCACACCTGCTTTTGCTCCACATCCAGCACAGAGCCTCTTGAGTCCTGATTTTTGCTGAAGCTGGGCCTTCTGCCTGGAATGCCTCCTCCCTCCTGTTTGAGAGGCTGACTTGAGTCTGTCCTTCAAGACCCAGGCCAAGCGCCACCTCCAGGCACCTCCCCTCCAAAGCCAAGCCGGGAAAGATGCCCTGACTCCCCCACCAGCCCACAGCGAGCTCCCTTGGTGTCCTCCATCTCCCCCCAAGCCCCAACCTCCCTGAGAGCAGGGCTGTGCATCTTTGTTCCATAAATGAAAACACAGTGCTCCCAGGACAAAACCCAAGAGGCAAGCAAGGCAGAAAATGCAATTTCAAGCAGAAACTGGCTGCAAATTAAGAAGGCGATGCAAGCCACCTAAGAGAAGATGGCTCATTAGTTTAGAAAATAGCTTGAAAGAACTCAGTGGAAATGCAGTGGGTCCCCCGTCCCCACACAATATACACATACACCTGAGCCATGTGGATGTGATTGAAAGGTGAGGGGAAAATGAAATAGGGCTCAACTGCTCCGTTCTCAGGCATGAGGGGTGGGGTGAGGAATCTCGGAAGAGCAGAAAAGAGGGGAGGGGAAAGGGGTCAAGGTCGTGGGAACTAGGGCAGCAAGCGGACGTCTGAGGATAGATGGGCAGAGATATTGCTTGAGGATGCTAGAGGAACCCCTTCACAATTACCTTTCTTCAGTGTTCCTCTCAAGCACCCAGTAAAGCCTGTTTGATGGCACCACCCCCTCCTGGAGGTGCCCTGGGGTGGGGGTGACCCAGGGTGAGCACAGCGCCCGAAGGGAATCCACAGAGCAAGAGAGTGCCAGGCGGGGTGCCGTTTAGCCCACTTGAACATGATAGAAGCAGGTGGCTCAAGAGGCTGGAGTCTCAGAACCCTGCTGGTCCCACATTGTGGGGGCGGGGTTGGAATTCGTCCTACCCCACCGGACTGTCACCCAGGTCACCACTGTGGGCTCAGGGGCCGGGTCGCCAGCACCTAAACCTGAGTTCACTGCTCACCAGCACGCAGTTGTGGGCAGGAACTTCCCCTCCACACAGCAGGTTCTGTCTGCAAAGTGAGGGTCATCCATAGAAGTCCATCTCCAAGATGGTTGAAGAGCTGGCCCTAGTGGATGAAATTACCCAGCTGCTAGGGCCAGCAGTGTCTGGCCCGCAGTTAAAAGTACTAACACCCAGGTGGCCAGTTCTGTACCTGTGTCCCCACCGTCCAGCCGAGGGACAGGCAGGAAATAGGCACTTGGTGTCCTTGGTGTTTGTTGAATGAATGAGGACTTTGTCTTGAACCCTTCAAGCACACTCTGTCCGGGAGAGTAGCAATTCACTCTGCAAAGCCTCCCTGAGTCTGCAGTCCCTGCCCCACTGGCAGGTGCAAGGCCCCGGGAGCAATGGCCTCCCCGACTCCCTGTGTCCTCAGGACACACCCGGGCTCTGGGGTTCAGGGTCAGTACCTGGAGCCAGAGAGCAGGTCAGGTGCAGGTGGGGAGACCTGCTGCGGAAGGGCACCTGAGGGGCTGGGTGGGCGTCAGCAGCCTGGGGGACACTCAGTTAACAGGTGGGCGGGCGGCTCGATGCCTTTACGATACTAGGGCTCCTGCAGGGTGCTGCATGTTTTTCCAACCCCCCAAACCTCCCCTGTAGTTTTCCCCCAACTCTTCTAGACCTTTGGCACTGAGACCATTCGCTGGTGAGTTTCCAAGAGTTGTGCGACAGTGAGCAAACAGCAGGCAGTGAACTTTGAGTCAGGAGGGAGCTTTGTGTCCTTGGAGGATGGGATGATCCAGGAAAGGCTGGGCAGGGGAGAAGAAGGCAGAGAGGAAGGCCCGGCCTGCTGCAGGGCTGGCGGGGGGAGAAGGCAGAGGTGGACACGGCTTCCTTCACAGCGAAGGCGGCCGGTGCTCACCCCACCACAGCACAGAGCCAGGCTTCCCCACAAGAAGGGGACAGGCAAGGACGTCGCCAGGCCAGGAGGAGATTCAACCACCACCGCAGCCAGAATGACAAGTACCGTTTATTACAGTTACATGAATGGGCCCGGTCACCGGCCAAGTGCCATCCCACGGGCCCACAGAGATAAGCACAGTCACAACCCCTTCCCCACCCCCGAGTCGTGTCCAGTCATACACTCCAGGCAGAAAGTCCCCGTATGGAACACAGGGCACGGGTCCCCTTCGTCGGACGGGGGCGTCTCTCCAAGTCACGGATGGGCCCCTCTCGGAGCGGCCAACAGAGCAGCTGGAACATTGTCAAATTAAATAAGCAAGCACAGGAGTTCCCAGGAGCCAGGGCTGGGGCAGGGTGCAGGGTTGTCTCTGGTCCCAGCAAAGGTGTGAGAAACGGAACATCGAAGGTGTCTGAGAGGCAGGCATTGGCTCCAGGCCTCCGTGGGGCTCATGGCCTCCGATCAAGCTGGACTGGGGCAAACACAGCTTCGTCACCATTTAGGAGATGTTCTTTCGAACTTGGCAACACAGAAATTTACATCAGGCCTTGTACGACCTTGGCAGAAGAACCTGCCTAGGTCCAGAAGAAGTTCAGAAACAACAACAACAACACAAAAAACCCAAACAAACCAGAGGTGCTCTGGCCCCCGAATCCGTCCCCATGGGAAAGACGAAGCAGAGCTTTTAGCCAAGTTTCCCAATATCGTTGGCATTTAGAGAACAGGCTGGTCAGACACACGACCAGCACAGAAAGAAGCGAAGGCAGTAGAGTTCACATGACTACTTTATATTAAAGTTTATTACATTTGGAAAATCTACTGTACAGGGAAAAACCCATTGGATTAAGTAGAGTTTTGCCAAAAGCAAAAGACTATCACTCTTTGGAATATTCCTGATTCCGGCCCACAGTCGGGCCACAGGAGCTTATCAAAAGTGAGCCTGGTCCGTCCGTGGGGCAGCTCAGTGCCAGGTCCAAGACGTCTCTTGTCACTTTACAGGAGAAAGTGTCCCCGAGAGACGGCATCAAAGGGAGGGCTTGGTCTACAGGAGATTCTCTGGGCCCAGCGCCATCTTTCCTACCCTAGAGTCGTCTCTCTTTGATCCTCCCCAGCCTAAGACACCGGGATTCAACTTTACAGGGGCCTCCCCAGTATCGTAGTCGCCCAGGCCATGGCCCTGGCCCCAAGTTCATGGACACAGGCAGGACTGCTCCAAGAGGTGACTACCCATGGGAGCCAGGAGGGGCCAGCCCACCAGTGAGGCCACCCAACAGACATCCCATACCCTGTTGCACACATGAGCGACAAACTCAAACAACATACAAACTAAACCTAGACATCGGCTTCTGGATTTGGTTCTCCTAGTCAATAAAAAAAAAAGTCTTCTTAATAACCCTGATGCTGTCTCCTGACCGTAAGATTAGGGAAGAAAGATGGGGAATAACCAAATCGACTTACTTAACTTACCTCAGAAGTAACAAAGCCTACCGGGCTGTGAACAAAGAAACTAGAGGAAAAACATGTGCAAAAACAAGTTGACATCTAAGTTAGACCTCCCCACGAAACAAAGTGAATTCTGACGGAACCCTGACCTCCTGGCCCAGCTACTCGGCGGGACACGCCCCCAGGCCTGCTGGTGTCTACCAGTAAGTGCTACAGACGTGTCCACCCTCAGCCACAGCATCTTCGTCCAAAGCAGCGGGGTCCCCTTCTCTCCAGAGCTGGGCCTGCTCCAGCTTGGAGAAACTGAGTCAGCGTGGCAGGATGCCAAGGTACCGTCTGCGGTGGAAAGGTCAGTCGTTCACAAGAAAGCCCTTGTGCCCAAGTCTTCAGGCAGAAGTCAGAGAAGCAGAGGCGAGGTCCCCTCCCCGGTGGGCCCAGGACGCCATGGGCAAGGGGAGACGCCAGCGGTGCTGGGCGCTCCAGGGAGGTGGCATGGTGGCAGGGATGCAGGTCTGCAGTTCTTCACAGAAGAGGCGAGTGGGGGGGGGGGGGTCTAGCGAGTGGCAGGGGGAGGGGAGAGATGTCCCCCCCCATCAGGCGTAGAACTCCTCCTGCTTAGTGGGCTTCTGATAGGCCCCGCCGTTGGCTTGTTTTGGCTCCTCCAAGGAGTAGCTGCCCTCGTCCTTCTTCTTCATCCGGTACAGCATGAAACCCACCAAGCACACGGCAAAGATGAGCCCCACGAGGCCTCCAGCAATGACCCCTGGACAGGCGGGGAGGAGGACAAAGGCTGGCTCAGCTCAGCTGCTCCTAGGGGTTGAGTGGCGGCCCTGCCAGTGATAAAGACAGCCCCGCCCCAGCCCACCTCCACTACCCCACCCACTGGACAGAAAACTCACCTCCCAGCACTTCCTTCCGGTCCAGGAGGCCCTGCGAGGCCCCCGTAGCCCCCGTGGCCTCAGGATCCCCCGGGGGCCCGTTCCGTGAGCCAGGTTCCACCGCGGCCCCAGCTGCGTTCTCCCCAGACACGTCAAAGGTGAAGTCCTAGGGGAGGGTGGGGAAAGGACCAGGTGGGTGGCCACAGCCGAAGCTGCACCCAGGTCCATTTCCAGCTTCCCTGGTCACCCCTGCCACCAGCTCTAGACACACCCAAACCCAGACTTCCCTGGACCCCGTGGTCAGGTCCCTCTGGCCACATCACACTGGACCCTGCCGGACAGTGGCCAAGGCACTACGTCCAGTGATGCAAAGCACGTTTTATATGAAAATAAAATAGGCTCATTTCAGCGTAATGTGTAACACTGCCATGATGCTCTAAGATGAAAAGAGAGCTGGGAGAGCTTTCCCTCTTTTCCCAGGGGCGTATGCTGGGGAAGCCCTCTTGAAGGGCCTTGAAGGGCCCTCAGGCTCTGGTCTACTTAAGCCTGTCCCAACGCAGGCTCAGTCCTGTGGGCAGGCAGAGGATGGGACCTTGTCTTCACGGTGGGGATTACAACATGCTCATAGAGTACAAGGGGTCGGGTGTGCCAGGGGACTGAGCCAGCACCCTGCACTCAGAGCACTTCGTCCCACGAGGAACTAGGGCCACCCAAGGCCCCAGGAAACGCAGAGGATGACAGCGGGCCCGATACCCACCTGCTCCCCAGAGCCCTCTACCACTGGGACCTGGGTGGAGGGGTCCCCCTCGGCTGCCTTCTCAGTGGCAGGAGGTCCTCCATCCCCCACGTGGGGCGTGTGCGGCTCCAGATGGCCCCGGCCTGTGGGAGCTGAGGTCTCATGGTGCTCGGGCTGCACGTCCCTGTGGGGATGGGAGGTGGCAGGTCCCGGGGCTGTGGTGGCTCTGACTGTGGACACCCTGTGAGTGGTTGGGTACAGCGTGGTCTTGCTGGGTGGGTGGGTGGCCTCCTTCTCCTGGGCGGTGAGGCCAGGCTCCGCCTCTGCCAGGAGCACCGGCCCACCCCCCTCAGGCTGCTCTCTGGTCGGCAGGACGGTGGTGGAGGCGGCGATGGCGTCTGGGCTGGTGGGCTCTGGAGCCGTGGCTGTGGTCGTCATGGGCCCCAGGTCCTTCCAGGTGGAGGGTGTCTGTGACGAGGTGATATCTGGCAGAGCGCCTGCAGGGCCAGAAGCAGAGCTTATGGGGTCAGGGAGGCCCCTGAACATCAAGACCAGCCAAGCTCAGACCCCGGCTCTGACTCCCAGGCCAGCGCAGCAACGTTTTCTTCCCGTGAGAAGCCATGGGGCAGAGCTCTGTGTGCATGCTAAGTCGCTTCAGTCGTGTCGGACTCTGTGCAAGCCTATGGACTAGCTAGGGCTAGGAAAGCTGCCCTTTTCTGCTGCATCTGGAAGGGGAGTTTTCCTGCCACTGCTGAAGCCTGCTCCCTGGGCAGAGGGGTGGAGGGACATCCTCAGGGCCCTGAACACCTTATCCCCAGCACACACACCTCTTGGCCCCTCCCTGCTCCACTTACTCTCCCCCTCCAGAAAGACCCAGGTTCCCAAGAACAGAGGCCTGTGTCTTACCTCCCAGCTCCCAGGCCCCCTTGCCTAGGCCACTTTCCCCAAGGATGACTGTAGCCCCCACTTCTGAGGTCTAGTTCAAGAGCACCTCCTCTGGGAGGCCTCCCTGACCACCTCCAGTTCAAGGATTTCACTCCCTCAGGGAAACGGGAAAAGAGGGAAGATAAAGGAACATTTGTGAACGATCTGTACCCCCACCAGGATCTGCGTAGTCTCACAGCTCCCAACAACCTTGTAAAGTCAAGATGTTATTCCCATTGTACAAATGAGAAAATAGAGGCTTGGCAGAAGTTAGGAAAAAAAAAAAAACACCTTTCAAAGGTTTCCCAGTGAGTTAAAAAGGAGAACACGAGCCCAAGTCTGTCTGTGGCAGGCAGCCCCGCTGGGAATCTATACCCTGCCCTCCCCTACCCACACGTGTTTTCTCCTTGCAGCATGGACCCAGTTCTCATTCCTGGCATAACCCTCCAGGCCCAGCCTGACCACCACCCTCAGCCCACGGCCTGCTGACTTCCCGGAGGGGGCCCCCACATCTACCCACCTGCGCCCGAGCCAGAGAAGTTGTCATTGTCATCCCCAGAGCCATCCTGATCTTCGGGGGGCATGTTTATGGCCACACTGTGCTGGAAAAAGATCAGGGAAGGATAAGAGCGGAGTCTTCACTGGGACCTGCTATTTTGGGGTCCCCATCCTAGGCAGCTGAGTGCCACACCCAAACACACACCTCACACACAGCACAGAAGGAAGCCCTCGGCTCTGGGCAGTCCTCTGGTTCCCCCCACACCGCCTAATGCTATGATGACACAGCCCTGGGCTAAGTACTGGGGGCGCAGAAACCCACAAACTGGGGGTAAGACCCTTGCCCCAAGAAGTTTGCTCTACCGAGGGAGCCCCAGAACTCAGAGGAGCAGGCAGACGACACCATTCCTGGAAACCCAGGCGGCAGCCTCCATGGGACCACAGCCCACCCTACCCTGAGAATCAGGTTCTGGGGGCCACTGGGAGCGGGCTTCAGGGTTCAAGGGTGGGGCTTTCAAGGGCCCCCTGGAAACATCACAACCACCTGGCTCCAGGGAGGCAGTCCCCAGACATGCTGAGCATCAAGGTGCAGACCCCGAGGACCCCACAGGGGGCAGGGGGTGAGAGCAGCAAGGATGGGCATGGAATGAGTTGTCTGTGCTAAGACAGGCTTGCCCATGCAGGACAGCCCCCAGGCCTGGCCACAATGCTTGGTCACACACTCAGCCCATTTTCTCATTCACAGGAGAAACTGGGTCCCTCCCTCTTGGGGAAGGAAGGACAGAGCATCCATCAAGCTGGGGACAGATGAGGCTGGTCTAGAAGGGGCCCTGGGCTAAGGAGGCAAATGGGCTGTGGGCCTGGGGTGGGCCCTGGGTGCAAACAGCTGCCCCAGGGAAGCTGCCTGCCTGGGGCGGAGCCCAACAGGCTGCAGGCACCAAAGTGAACACTCAGACCCAGGCCCTGAGGCAAGAGGCCACTCCAGCAAGACCAAGGGAGTAGGGTCAGGTGAGGACATTGAACTGGCCAGGGCAGAAACCCAGTCCTGGGGGGACCACACCCACCCCAACACTGGCTCCAGGAGAACAGGTGAGGAAGGAAGGACCCAGAAGCCGGGTGACAGGAAGAGTAGCCTTAAGTATCCTGTGCAGCAACAAGACTTCGACCCAAATGACCCCGTGCACGGCAGTCCCAATATATGAGCGGCCAGAACAAAGAAAAAATGAAGAAGCAGGACAGTGTAGTTCAGAGCACACAGGCTTTTGCAAACCCCATGACCTCTGCCCCTTACTAGCTGAATGGCCCTGAGGACATAGTAAACCTTTTACAGCCTCAGTCTTCCCATTTGTAAAATGAGAACAGTAGTAACATCAAAATCCACACGTGCAAGCTAAGTCGCTTCCCTTGTGTCCAACTCTTTGTGACCTTATGGACTGTAGCCCACCAGGTTCTTCTGTGAATGGGATTCTCCAGGCAAGAATACTGGAGTGGGTTGCCATTCCCTTCTGCAGGGGATGTTCTCAACCCAGGAATCAAACACACATCTCCTGCAGTTCCTGCATTGCATGTGGATTCTTTACCACTGAGCCCCTGGAGAAGCCTATCTACATGCCAGGATTGTTGCAAAAGTTCAATAAGGTTATGCACAAAAAAAGAACCTAACAGTACCTGGTTCACAGTGGTGAACCCACCACCCAAGCACCCCACCAACAGTGTCTCTAACTTGCTCCCCGCTCTAACTTGGGGAGCAAGAGCCACTCGGCATGGGAAAGAGGATTCTGGGGCCTGTCCAGGAAGAGGAGGGCTTGAGGTGGGTAGGGTTTTAGGAGAGGAGGGGGCAGACGGGAGCCAGTACATAGGCAGCTCTGTGCAGACTTGTCAGAGGGTAGGCCCCGCCCAAGGCTGGCTCCAGGAAACTGGCCTCCTCAGCCCAAGAGGCCTCGCCAGGTCCTGGCCACGGGCCACGGGGCCGCCCTCTTGAGTGGGGCAGAGCAGGAAGGGACAGACAAGATTTTTGGCCTCCTGAGGCAGAGCTAGACTGGGTGGAGGCTCCATCCAAGGGCCCAGGTCTGAGGGAAGCTTCAGACACGTGTAGAAACCATGAGGCTAGAAATACCACTGAGCTTCCTTTGAAAGTACAAAACCCACACTGTACTTCCTCCCATCTCCACAGCCCCCCAAGAAAAAGATTTTGGTCGCTTTGTCTGAGCTGCTATGGCCCATTCGCAATGCATAGATTCCACCTGCACCCTGGGCCACATCCTGTCTGTGTTGTCCCCTGGGGTGCTTCAAACACCTGCCCTGCCTCCACGGAGCTTTAAGGCTGCCCCAGGCTCCTGGAAGGCTACCCTGCTTCAGTAACAAAAGAACCCTGCCCCTCAGGCAGGCGCAGAGTGGGTACCCCCACCCTGACATACTGCTGCCCCAGGTCCCCAGCAGATGCGCCCGACAGGAGAGCTTGAGGGGGACAAGCATTCAGGGGACCCCACCCACCCACACTTACTCACTGAGACCCCCTGCCTTCACTTCACCCAACACCCTCGAAGGTCTGGAGGAGACCCTAGGTGGTGATGCTCCATTTCCCGCCCTTGGAGAGAAAGCTGGAGCTGGAGCTGGGGGCCAGGGCTGCAGCCACGCCAGCCTGGACCACACACCATGAAGCAGAAGGTAGCATCCCCGGGGCCAGGCCCTGTTTCACGGACGGGGCCTCTGAAGCCTGCAGAGAACACAGTGCACTGAGACCCCTTCTATCCTGGAGGCGCCGCCTGAGACACAGGCAAAGCCAAGGAGGCCCAGCCTCTCACCTACACAGAGGCCCTGACAGGTTAGCAGTTTCCCAAGAGAAGGGTTTCCTCTCAAGACGAGATAAGACTTTGGACCGGCCCAGTCCCTAAAAACAATTTGTTCCCTCATTTTGGCTGGGCTTATCCCGCTGGGATCTTGTTTACACAACAAGCTCTTAAGCAAACACTTTCTCCCCTGAAACCGGCTCCCAGGCCTCAGGGCAGCCTCTCCCCTTTATGGGCTGGGTATCCGCTGAGGGGATGGGCCGCAGTGACCTCCCAGATCTCCAGCGTGAGCCTCCCCCGCGACAGCTGCAGCTCCCAGGGGAGGAAATCAGCAGAAACTGCTGAGGTTGAACTTGCCTCACCAGGTGCCCCGCTGACGCTGGAGGCTGGGAGACTTCCGGTTTCACTCAGTGGCCCGGCCATGCTAAGGGCCTGTGGTCAGCTGCCTCCAGGGCCCAAAATAGGGCTCTCCTGGGCACGGCCTCTTGACGCTGCCCTGAGACCACTTGGCCAAACACAGGGATACCAGGGGCGGGTCGGCCCAGTTTGGAACCCACCTCAAGCAGTTTGGAAAGACAAAAGGGAGCCAGCTGGACCTCTAAGAAAGCCTTTAGCCTCTGTAAGGCCCAGAAAACCAGTTTTCCATACAAGAAATCAAAAGCCCTATGAGTAGGTCTAGACGATCACATACTGCTCAAAGGCAAACTTAGTCAGCTGAAGCTGGTCCTTCCCACCCCCAGCACAGACCCTGGAAGCCCAGGGCCTGAAAGGCCAAAGCCAGGTGTGGCTGGGCATCTGGGGCAGATAGATACACAGAGGCTAGGGCACAGGAAGCCCGAGAGGAATAGCCAGCCCACCTCGTCTAGGCCACACTGGTCTCTGGGCCACACCAAGGCTGTGAGAGGAGGGCCCACCTCCACCCACCCGAGAGAGGACTTGGGGTTAGGGGTCTGGGAGAGCAGGACAGAGAGTGTGAAAGGAGAACCTGGTCTCTTGATACTGGAAGTATTTTCCATCCCTTTCCTCCTGTTAGCCTTTGATTTGAGGCAGACAGGGCTGAGATTTAGCCTCTCCTGAGGTAAGGTGAAGTTGCTCAGTCTTGTCCAACTCTTTGTGACCCCATGGACTGTAGCCTACCAGGCTCCTCCCTCCATGGGATTCTCCAGGCAAGAATACTGGAGTGCGTTGCCATTTCCTTCTCCAGGGGATCTTCCTGACTCAGGGATCGAACCCGGGTCTCCTGTATTGCAGGCAGCCGCTTTAACCTCTGAGCGACCAGGGAAGATAAGGTGGGGTCTTGCCCACGGCCACCGGGTAGTGAAGTGTCTGCACACTCACAGGCAGTGCTCACAGCCCCGTCTGCCATCTCTCTCCCTCTGCCCTGCCCCAAAGGACCACATTCCCCGAAAGCTCAGCTGTTCTAAGGGAAATTTGCCTAAGCCTTTGGTGGCTCAGATGGTAAAGAATCTGCATGCAATGCGGGAGACCTCTGGGTTCGATCCCTGGATTGGGAAGATCCCTTGCAGAAGGGAATGGCAACCCACTATAGTATTCTTGCCTGGAGCATTCCATGGACAGAGGAGCCTGGCCAGCTACAGTCCATGGGGTCGCCAAGAGTTGGACATGACTGAGCGACTTTCACTTCACTTGCCCAAGTCTCTACAATGTTCTGCAGGCCCCAGAAGTCCTGGGATGCGCATGTATTCCTGAGTAAGGGTTCCCAACCCCTGCCCAGCAGCGGAGACCCTCGTGCTGGTCCAGCTTCAGAGGTGGAGAGGGGATGGACGGCATGGCTAAACAAGGGTCAGGCTCATCAGGGGTGGAGGGTCTTCATCACCAGGCTACCTGCCATTCCCAAGAGCATGTCAGGAGTCCGTGGGCAGAGGGCTGGCAGAGAAGCTTCGAGAAGGCCTCAAGGGGAATTCTCTTCTGGTCCAGTCGTTGGGACTCCATGCTTCCACTATAGCAGGCACCGGTTCCCTCAAGCCCACTCCTGCCATCTCTCACCCACAACGGGCCATAGGAGGGCCTGGGGCTGTGATAGCATTCCTCCAAGACACCTTGGGCATGTGCATGAAAGTTCCTTGGGACAATCATACATCGGGATACCAAGTGGGCATCTCAGATGTTCAGGTGAGGGGCTTCTACTTCCAGGCTGACCAGAGAGGTTGCCCATTCTGGCCCCTGACCCTTGCCACCCCATCAACCCATAGCCACCAGGTCCAAAGATAATGGTTTCCAACCCACACCCTCAATCACTAACATGTCACCCACTACTTGATGTGAGTGATGGATAAACACAAATCCTGTAAAAG